AATAAAATGCGGTTAGCAGAGGGGAGAGAATGGAGCAGATAGTGGGTTGAAGTGGGGAGTGGAGAGATAGAGGAGTAAGGTGGGAAACAAACGAGTGTGCCAACAAATAGAGAGAGAGACCTATACTGAAACAGATAAAAACAATAGACCACAGCTACAGACGAACCAACTCTCATACAAAAAAAATAAAAATAAAAATAAAACATATAGTGATGCTAACATACAGGCTAACCAACCACCTTGTTAGTGTGCTGTTCCTCTATACAAAGATATGGTTTACAGAGAGATGAAAAGAGAAGAAAAGGAAAAGGAAAAAAGAAAAAAGGGAGCAATACAGTAGGAATAGAATTAAGTCATTAAACTAATAGAATCAATGAAGCACACTCTGAGACATTTCGTTTAAGTCCAATGTCCTTTCAGGTCTGATTTCTAGTTTTCTTTTCAAGCTGGTAAATTAGGTTGCAGTTAGGGTCAGTTGCCCCTGATCTGCTATGAAGGACAGTTCAGATTAACCTCCGTTCAGCAGTTTGGTCTATGTCTTTATCAAGCTTCTCTCCTTTCGGTGTTGTTACCTTGAATTGCCAGCAGGTGGTGCTATCTCAGCTGGTCGCCCCAGAGGGGGTGGGGCCGGACAGGAGCAAGATGGCTGCCTGCCTCCGAGCAGGCAACAGGAACCCCACGCCGGGCGGGCAGGACAGTCTCGACACAGGAGAGGTGGCAGCGATCCCAGCAGATCTTCCCTGAAGGGCTTTGGTGTGGATCGCCTCGGGCCGGGTGGTGTGCTGTGCTACCCATCACAGAGGCCTTGGCTGTGGCAGCGGCAGCGGTGGCTGCAGCACTGTTTGCACTGTGTAACTGTCCAGTCATTGCGATGTCCCAGCGGTGGCAACAGCCGAACTCTGTCTGAAGAGCAGGTTACGATGCTGGGGTCCCCAGCCCCCCAGGGCGAGAGTCAGAAACCCACTGCAGATCTCCCTTGTAGAGGGCTTCAGACACCGGGTTGCCCCGTCGCCATCTTGCCGCGATCCCTGAGTTTTTGTTTTTTTTTAATGTCGGCTCTTGAATATTTTTGACATATTTATCGGTCAATCCTAATTCTTGCTGTCAGAATTTTCTATTACATATTGTAGATGAAATAACTTTTTGGTAATAATTTATAATCTATCTTAAATCTATCATTTCATGACATTGTAAAAATGTTGTCTCCGGGTCCAGGTTACTTTCCTTTCTTTTAGGCTTTGTTTTCTTCTCTTTCCTTTTCTTTTTCTTTCTTTTTGATGAGTCAGAGTTTCACTCTGTCACCCAGACTGGAAAGCAGGGCACACACATGGCTACCACAGCCTTGACCTACTGGGCTCAGGTGATCCATCCACCTCAGCCTTCCAAGTACCTGGAACTACAGGCACACTAGTAGCAGCCACCACACCTGGCAAATTTTTAAATTTATTACAGAGTTATTGCCAATTTGCCCAAGCTGGTGTTGAGCTCCTGGGTTTAGGCAGTTCTCTCGCTTCTGCCTACAGAAGGGTTGAGATTATTGGTGTGAGCCACTGTGCCAGCTTACTTTCCTATTTTTAAAAATAATTGCATTAGGTCTGCTTAATGTCATGGATTGTCCTAGGCATTACTCACACTTATTAATGGTCCTAGACCTTGCCCTGGTTCCAAATGTCAGTCTAGAAAAAGAGATAGTTATAAACTGCTAATTCTAATAATTATGCTTGCTTTGCAAAGGAGATAATTGGTTAGCTGAATATAAATATCAGAACTTTTAAAAATAAAAGACTTCCCTTATACCTTTCTCTCTTCTATAGGACTCATGCTTTTCCAGAGACTCACCTTAGGGACTTAGAGAATCGTTTCAGTCTGTTCCTCCTTTCTTTCCATGGGCAGAACCATTTCTGAGGTGTTCTAAGGTGTGAATGCATGGAAGTAGTATTCCTAAAACCATACACACCATCACCTCGTCTCCCATACTCTGTCTTCTAATCTATCCTTACAGTTTTGAATCATATTTTTCTTTCAGGGTAAACAAGGATAATAAATAGTTAATATAAACTGAAGTGCACATTGAGTCATTGTTTTATATATTTTAGGCATATGAATCCTCACATAACCCCAAAAGGTAAATTAGTGTTATTATTCTCCATTATAAATGAGAAGATTGAGACAAGAATTAACTGAAAAACACTTCCAGAAAAACCAGGAAGAGGCAGAGCCTGGATTTGAACCAGAAATCATGGCTTCAGAAATCACTTTTAATTAATACACCATATGCTTTCAAAGATTTGTAAGATTCTGACAACAAATAACAGTTTCACTAAGAAAAAGTTAAACACAATTTCCTCAACATCTCTCAAATCTAATGGGTAATATTAAATTCAAGCCTTAAGACACTCTGAGGCCACTTGGTCAGCTTCAATGGAACCTTGCCCAAGACTGGAGACTGGGTTTGGAGAGGGGCAGAGGACAATCAACCAAGTAGAAGTACTCTGTCTTCCTTACTTATTCCCTCTACCTTTTTTCTCCCAGTTCAGCCTAAGGTGACTGTGTATCCTGCAAAGACCCAGACCCTGCAACACCACAACCTCCTGGTCTGCTCTGTGAGTGGTTTCTATCCAGGCAACATCGAAGTCAGGTGGTTCCGGAACGGCCAGGAAGAGGAGGCTGGGGTAATCTCCACAGGCCTGATCCAGAATGGAGACTGGACCTACCAGATCCTGGTGATGCTTGAAACAGTTCCTCTGAGTGGAGAGGTTTACAGCTGTGAAGTGGGGCACCCAAGCCTGATGAGCCCTGACACAGTGGAATGGAGTAAGAATCTTTCTGATCTGATACATTTCTCACCCTCCAGGAAGGGGATTTTCTTATCTCTGAGTGTCAATTTTCTCCTTCCACATATCATATTTTCATTTGCCCCTGTTCTCCTCTCCTTCAACACAGGTCAGAGGGAGTATCACAGGTGGTAAGCTTGTGACAGTTTCTCGAAAGAGTTGTATACCTTGGTGAAGCATCCTTGCCTGTCAGACAGGTGAGGATGTCCCAGTTTTGATCCTATTCATAATATCACAGGTCTTGGTCATCCCCTGTTTGGGCACCAGTCTATGCCTCTGCGTTGGTGCTGTACTTCAGTGTTGTTGCTCTGAGTTGTTTGTTGCGATCTGAGAAGAAAAGCAATGTAGGAGCTTTCCAGATCTGAGCAGCGTCCAATCACATGTCCATGTTTTATTAGCTCTGTCACTCCAGACAAGCTACTTAATTTCATGGGTCTTAGGCTTTTTGTTTATCAGATTTCAAATTGTGTCTTACATCAGGGCTGTGATATTTGGATGAGTTTAATATCTGAAACTTGCAGCTCCTCAATGTGATCTTTAAGCATCTCTTTCAGAAATGGTCAATGATGTTAGTTCTTCCGGGGGAGATTTATTTCCTTATTCTCAAAGCACTATATCTCAGGGTCTCAATAAAAGAAGTTAGATTTGGGACAATAATCACTAAAGCTGACCTTTTCTCTCAGGGGCACTGTCTGAGTCTGCACAGAGCAAGATGCTGAGTGGAATAGGGAACTTTGTGCTTGGCCTGCTCTTCCTTGGAATAGGGCTATTTATCTACCTCAGGAATCAGAAAGGTAAGCAGAAAGGTAAGCAGTTACTGGTAGCTGAATCTCTTCATAGTGTTTTCTGAAACAAGAAATATGATTTTGCTGATGTTACTTCTCAGTAAGCAAGTTTCTTTCTCCAGTTTGGTTATAATTTATGGAAATCCAGAAATTAGTACTCCACAGATACTGTGTCAAAGCACAAGGGTTAGTTACCTGAAGGGATCAGAGAATTAACAGGCATGACAATCTTTGGAGAAATTGGTGCAAATAAAGGAAGAGCCACGAAAGTTAATTAAATTACACTGGACTGTGTAACATATGCTTAATGTCTCACATACTCTCATTTTCTGCTGATCTCTCTGCTCTTGGCGTTGTGGGTATGGTGTTAGATAAATCACAGGTGGGAGATCTGCGCCTGGAAACATTGTATTTGAGAACATATTTGCTTTCATGTCTTTTAAGTCTATATCTTTTCCTCTCCTTTCCAGGGCACTCTAGACTTCTGACAACAGGTAATAATATCTGATTCTCTTCTAGAGGGAGATTGAACTTTTCTAGAATGGTGGCAGAGGTGACAAGACATAAAATAGACATAATTGGAAACACTTTGGATTAAATTTTCTGATCATCAGTTTACAGTTACCCTTCTCTCTACTTAGTAAAAGGCCAGAGCTCTGAAGTATCATGGCTCTAGGAATCTAAAGGACATTTTTTTTCTTCCTGTAGTGCTGTCACATGAGACCCTGATAGAAGGAGAAAAGCAGCTGTTTGTAGAGTTAGGTCTGAAAACAACATTGTTCTCTATCTTCTGCAGGACTCCTGAGCTGAAGTGTGGATGACAGTACTCAAGGAGAAACCTTCTGTCTCAGCTTCTCAGCATGAAAAGCTTTCCCACTAGACTCTTATTCTTTCTCAGGAAAAGTGCTTTCTATGGACTGATCAGCTCTGGTTCAGTGATGCTGCAGGAAACATTCTCCCTGATGGCTTTCTCACCCCTGCCCCTGGTCTGGAGGTCTCAGATTTGACAACAGTCCTTTATCTTCATTTTTCCTGGTCCCCTTTTTACCCAACCCTTTTTGCGTCCCATGTATCTGAACTTTCTTTGTGCCTATTGCATTATCAAATTTTTCTCAAATTAACATGGAGTGAAAAAATCATCTGCTTCACAAATCTCAAGGATAAGAGATAGAAAAAAGGAGAAAATTATATCTCAATGCAATCATAATTTTCATCTATAAATGATAACTGAGTGAGATAAGGTATATTTTAAATAACATAATGTTGATTTCCGCATTGTAGACATTTATCAAGGCATCATGGTTTCTACCATAATATACTACATAATTTATACTTGTCAATATTCAAAAGTCTATAAAGGCAATTCATAAAAACTGAAAACAGGCTAAAGCAATTGAAATCAACTTGACAAGTATATGATAAAAAACAAGGTAGAAAGTAAATCAAAACATTTTTTGAGTTAGTGTCTCACTCTGTTTCCCTGGCTAGAGTGCAGTGGTAGGATATGGCTTACCACAGCCTCATCCTCCAGGGCTCAAGTGATCTTTCTGCCTCAGCCTCCTGAGTAGCTAAGACTGTAGGCCCATACCACTACACTTGGCAAATATTTTTTAAGGATGAGTTTTCGTTATGTTTTTAAGGTTGACTTCAATAAGGCACTGTTATAAAGGAGTGGCATAAACTTCAGAGAAAGAAAAGCTGCTCAAGAAAAATGGAGTGTACTGCTACTGTTTTCCTTCTGAGAATCTGTTTCAAATGTAAATGACATAAAGAAGCAGATAATCAGTTCAGAAGTTTATTACAAAGTAATAAACATTTAAGCGCAATTTCTTCATAGTCAGAGACTACAGTTATTTTCAATCAAATTCAAAATCTATTTCATGCATATTTGATTGTTATTAGTACAACTTGTGCAAAGCAGATTATCTTACAGGAATTTAATAAGTCATGTCTGTTCTGTGTGATCCTAAGGTTGCAAATTTACTCTTTCTCTTTCTCTGAGATGAAAAAAAAATATTTTATATGATCTATGGTGCGATATTTTAGGGTAGAATTTAAATATATGGGGTGAGCATTTCAATGAAGATGCCTCAGTTTTCTTTTTCTTTGACTCAGTATCTCACATAGTCAATAGATCCAAGAAGGATATCTCCAGGGTTGCTAAATTCATCAGGTATCCAAGATCTTGAAACTTTGTAGCTCATCTCTCCATCCTACACATCGTGTTGGCTTTCCTGAGGTGGTAGAAGGACACCTGCAGCAAATGCAGGTTTCATATTCTCTCTTATTCTAAAGACACATAAAGGAAACGATTTTTTCCTATGTGCCTTTATGATGAGCAACTAACCTTTCCCCAGTGTTCCTAGTACCCACTTCCTCACACATTGGAAGTACTGTGATATCACTATAGTAGGTTCAGGCAAGACTTGATTTAACCTTTGTGGAGTGGGCCTAACACAAGACAGAAGAAAAAAGCAAAGTCATATTTTTTTTAAAGAAAGCAATAGTGAATGTGGTAGGAGAAAATGATTTCAGGGTAGGGATATGACAGTTCATGGTACTATGAGGGTGTTAGTATTTTTACTTAATTTTCTCATAAGTCCTGAAGGTTGTTGAGAGGCATCCTCAATTCATGGTTTTGAGTTTTTTTTTTTTGACATATTGACTATTAAGTGCCAGGCATTAGCTTAATTACAATAAAAACAAAAAGGCAAGCAAAATAATTGTTTTTTGAACTTGATACACTACGCTGATGTAAAATTTTTGAAGAAGATATATTTTCTAGTGAATTCTTTTAAAAAAGAAAGTGTAATAACAAATGACTAGCACTATAGGGTGCTAAAACAGTGTACATTTATTTTAATAGATACATTTTGTTAATAATTCATTGTTGACTAAACTCACTAATAAAACAGAGTCCAGAATTATAACTACAAATAGCTGAGATTTAGTTTAGGATAAGTGGAGAGTTTCAAGTTGTTGGTAAGATGTTCAATCATCTCAATCAGTCATTTCAACAAAATGGATCTTTGATTTATACAAATTGAAACATAAAATATAAATTAATAAAATAAGTGTTATTCTCTTTATATTGCGATCTTTATTTATATGGGAAATAGTCCAAATGATCTTTAACTAGTAATTGGATAAACCAAATGAGCTACAGCTATACGATTTAATACCATACAAAAATATAAAGAGGCAAAAATATACTTACATGGTAGGGAGACACTATGGTCACAAATTGTTTTTTCCAAGGTAAAGTTTAAACCTCTGCACTTTGAACAATGATAAATTGCTTACTGAGTATAATTCACATCATTTGGGTGATGAATGCCCTAAGAACTCTGATTTCATCATTACATAATCTATACAGTAACACATTTACAGTTGTACCATATAAATTTATACAAATAAAAAATGAGTAAAAGTAAAAAGAAACAAAATGATGATACAGGCTCCAAAACTGGTGAACTTCCAAATGTTATGCTAAGTGAAAGAAATGAGATCCAAAAGACATGTCATATGATTTCTTTTACATGAAATGTAAAACGTAAAAGGAATTCTAAAACTTCTGAATTCCAAAGAAGAACAAATTCTGTTTAGGCGAGCAGGGACAGTATTTGATCTTATCGCTCTGTCATCTGCTAAACATTAATTTGATTTGAAATTAGATTTGGCTCTGAAAGGAAGATTTTGATGCGTTGAGGAGAAACCAGCAAAGTTAAAATCCTGTGGGCTTGTGTGATGATTTGGAATCTATAAAGGCCCCAAATATAATATCTATTTTTCCTGCCAGCTGATTTGTCTTTCATAACTTTTGCTGAGTTCATGGTTTTGGTGTGAGAACTTAGGATATAAATGGTGGTTAGAAAATCATCTCTATAGCTTCATGAAAACAAACATCAGTAAGAAAATCAAAACATAAAAATACTTTCAACTATATTGACTTATTTGACATTTATAATCGACATATATAAGCAAAATCCAATAATTACAGATTATATACTTCACATTGTACAAAGAATATCTATGAAGTAGAATACATGCTGGTGCCATAAAACTATTCTCAGTAACTTTCACAAGATTAAAACCATACAGATGCACATTCTGATCACAATCTTATCAAATTCAAATCAGATAGATCTTTGTTTCTGTGAAAGATCACTCAGTATTATAAACTCTAATTCCATCCTGGTTGCTGTGAAATTCATGATTTTGTTCTTCTTTATGGCTGTGTCATATTCCATTGTGTATATGTACCACATTTTTAAAATCCAGTCCTCTTTTGATGGTCAGCAGTGTTGGTTCTATGATCTTGCTATTGTGAACAATGCTGCGATAAACATGTGTGTAGGTATCTTTTTTATAAAGTGATTTGAGTTCTTCTGGGTATATTCCCAGCAGGGGGATTGCAGAGTCATATGTTCTAACACATAAGTGGACCTTGAACAACTACCGTGATACTATGAGAAAAGGATTGACAGTGGCGGGAAACTTTGGGTGGGGTGGGCAGGGAGGGGCAGGGTGGTGGGATTAATGGTAGTCAATATCTGGCTGGGGAAGGGGGGCACACCTCATCAACAAGGGTACCTGCACAATGAATATTTGTATACCTAACCCTTAATTGTAACCCACAATTTAAAAAAAAAATTAAAAAAATCAGATAGATTAAGACAATTGTCAAATAATTTGGAAGTGAAGCAGTACATTTCTAAATAATCTGTGGCTTGTCAAAAACAAAGCAGAAATAACTTGAACTATGTTGAATAAAGTAATATAAAAATAAATATTAAAAAGTTTTAATATGAACCAAGCTAAACCTTAGAGTGAATTTTTTCAATGTAAATGTTTATGCTCTAAAAAGAGAAATATGTAAATATTAGAGATCTAAACTATTAACTCAAGAATCTAGGTGGATGCAGTGGCTCATCACAGTAATTTCAGCATTTTGGGAGGCTGAGGGAGGAGTATTGCTTGAGCCCAGAAGTTGGAGATGAGCCTGGGCAACATTGCGCGATATCTTTACAAAAAAATAAAAAAATTAGTTGGGCATGGTGGCTCATGCCTGTAGTTCCAGCTACTTGGGAAGCTTGGGTAGGAAGATCACCTGAGTCTAGGAGGTTGAAGTGCTGTAACCTATGATTGTACCACCTCACTGCAGCTTGGGTGACTGAGTGAGACCTCGACTTAAAAAAATATATACCTGAGAAAAGATAAGCAGGGAATGCCCGAAAGAACTCAGGTCACACTATTAAAAAGATACCTGCACATGTGTGTTTATTGCAGCATTGTTCACAATAGCAAGAACATGGAATCAACCGTGCTGCCCACCAAAAGAGGAC